TATATTATGGAATTTGAGAAGTTATTGAAATTTTTATATGATTTTAAAAATATTTTAAATTCATAACTATATATTTCAATGTACAAGATTTTGATAAAATAAAATCTTTAAAGTTAAATTATAATGTTTTTGAAATTTAAATTATTAAAACATATATAATGATTTTATAGAAAAAATAATATCATATAAAATTAAATGAAAAGGATAATAAATTCAACTTTTACCATGATAAGGTTGAAAAATATTATTTAAGTGGAAGGAGGTGGGGCCCACTTGTATATTTTATATAGTAAGTATTGGACATTTGTAATGATTTAATTGGAACAATAGTAGTAAATCCTAGACTCTTCTAATATATAGTAATATAATTTGAATTTTTAAATTGTATTTTTTATTCATAAATATAATTTTTTTATAAATTGTCACACTATCAAAATTATTTGATATTTTTTGTAAATCTTACTAAATTAGTAAAAAATTATAACAAAAAAATAATAAAGCTATATAAAAATAAGGGAAAATTGTATGAAATAGCAAACTATTAATTCAAATTAAATGTTATAGCCTTAGTTTATTTTATTTGTAATTCGCAGCAAACATCCCATTTTTTGCCATCTGATTTGGTATACAATTAGCCATTTTCGGTATACAATTAATCATTTTATACATTTCGATATAAAATACGTTTGTGTTTGTATAAAGCAAAAGCAAAGTGTATATACAAATACAAATACAAATACATATATTTTCATCTTATACACTTATAATTATATAAATACAGATCTTATTATACAAATTACAATGTATAAATGAATTTATACAAAACTGAACAATTTGTATAAAATTTGATGTATCTAGCGAATTATACAAATCAAAAGTTCTATAGCAAACAAAAAATTTGTTATGGAGCACAATTATGCAAACTATAACTATAACATACAAATATGATTTTTATGTTTGCTATATGTGAAAGTTGCTCTAATAATGCAATATTTATTTATCGAACTTTAGTTCAATAAAAAAATAAAATTGAACATAATTTATAATGTGTTAAAGTCAGGACTACTTTTTAATATAATTCTTCCACCATTGGAAAATAAAACTGAATTTAGCTACTACTTTTCTTGCTATTCCGTCACTAATTATTTCATTTCTAGCATAATTCGTCGCTAATTCATCAATGAATAAGATTAGTAACCGATTTTATTATTTAGCTATAAAATCTATCTATCGCTAAATCTTTTTTTTTAGTAGTGCACATAGTTTGAACAATCTCCTTTGTATGAAGCTATTTTTTTTTTCGTATTTCAAAGACCAATATCAACAATATAATATTTATCTATCAATAAAAATAACAATTTTACAAGTAATTACTAAAAAGACATGTGAGGCGAAGTTGTAGCCCAAAAAAAGAAGATCCAGAGTGATTCCTCACCTATCCTGTCAGGGGCCCAGTGGAACGCTCGAGTATAGATTCCCTATGCTCATGTAAACGGCCGGGGCCGGCCGGCCCGTAGATCTAAAAGGATCCAGCCATAGGCCTAACCGGATATCGTTTGTCCACAAACAAAACAAAAACAAGGTTGGTTTTTAGTAGTAGTTCATGAGACCTCGAATTTCCACGTTCCAGCGTGCATTATGCCAACAGGTCCCACCACCAACTCTAGCTGAGAAGTTGAGTCACCCTTCTTTCTTTATTCAGAAATAGAATAGAATAAAGAATGAGATAGTCTATATCGATCATAGGATCACTCTATGAATAGGTCAATTCTCTGTGACCTTCCACCGTTCACGACATCCCTTGCTTCTTGCAACACGGATATGAGATATCTTCCATAAACAAATAATATCTATGTTGGTGTCAGTAATGACTAATGATTATATTAAATATAATTGGTTTAAAGTAGGGGGATGCATGACCGAGTTAGTTTGAATTTTTAAAATATTAAACCAACTTATTTGTGTCGAACTTTTAAATTTATAAACCAAATCAAATTAATAAAACTCAGATTTTTCAATCTAAGGGGTTTCTAAGTTTTTTCAGATTTTAGGTTTTTTTTCAATCAAGTGTTCATACAAACATATAATTAACTTATGCTTCAAATATTTATTTAGTCCTACTAAAATACAATTATTAAGGCATTTCTTAAGAAAATAACACAATATTTGAGTGAAGTGATGACATTAAAATATTCAATAAAATATAATATTGAAATTGCATAAAATAAATACTGCA